ACAAATTTTAAGTTGATTGTTCATTAAATTTTTCATAGACACCTGTGAAAATAATTTCTATTCACATGGCTTTTTTGTTCTCTGGGAAATTATTTTGATGATAAATACAGAAACAAGCATAAAAATCAAAACATCTACAATAGTGATAGTAATATTAATAATAAAATAATAGTCAGTGCAAAGTAGCCTACAAATTCTTTGTTGGGGGGCGGTGAGGGACCTGGATATGGGATAGGGGGCGCTGGCCCGAAAAAGGTTGAGAAACTGATTTAGTTCGTAATGTTGTATGTTCTAAATTACTTGCAAAAACATTGACTGAAAGGACTCTTATTTAATGTAGAGGGATTTTTGCCTGTAAGGCAAACCTTTAGGGCACAGACAGTCTACATTTTAAGTTGAAATGTACTGAAGTCTTATTTAAATTTGAGTGTTTAGCTAATTGTATTGTTAATTGTATTGTTAGAAGCAATTGTTTGCATTATTCAAAGACACTTTTTATTAAACTGTGGCAATAGCAACGGTTATAGTTCATTTCTATCACCACTATAAGTTTCAGGCTCAGGATTTTTTTTTACTTTAAGCCCTGCTTTTTGTTATAGTGCCTCTAAATGGGTTGCTAGAAGTGTTGATGTGTTTCATGGAGCCAGGTTTTAATTCATCATCATTCATTGTTGTTCATGTTACAATTTTTCTGTGCTATGCCCTCTGCTTTTCTGTCATCCCATCTTTGCCTTCGTAATGAAAATGTGATGACAAGCTATGATTGAAAAGTTCCTGCTACTCTGCCAGAACAGCTGAATGAGTGGTATTTAGGTGAAACTTAAGGAGCTTGTTCAGTGTTTATATTTCAAAATGGAACAACATGAAGTGCATCTAGCATCCCACACTGGACTCCATTTGGACTGTTTCACTTTCCTGTTCTGGGATTCCTTCGTTGTCTTTATTTTTGCATCAACTGGCTCCCTTAAGGATGACCACTGGCATCCTCTCCTGGATGCTGGCCACACTAAAACACTGGAGGGTTTAAGTGAATGTTGTTAATCAATTGGAACTCATTTTAATCTAATGAACCATTAATCAAAATTAATTGTAAGTCAATTAATTGTTTGCTCCGTCTGCTTTTTTCCCAGGCTGTGGATGAAATGAATGGAAAGGAGCTTAATGGGAAGACCATCTACGTAGGTCGCGCTCAGAAGCGCTTGGAGCGCCAGGGGGAGCTGAAGCGCAAGTTTGACCAGATCAAACAGGATCGCATCCAACGCTATCAGGTGTGGCTGTGTTTGACCCCAGATTACCAGAAGTGTAGATTTGATCAAATTTGACACTTCAAAAATGTTTTGAAGCGTCTTTCAGGAGAATGTTGTTTTTATAACATTCTCTTGAAAGATGTTAAAGTTTCAGGGTTTGATCATAAATGAATTCCCCAGACATGTTTAATGCGTCTCTAAATGTGAATGACTGAAGGAACAAATAATAATTTGATGCTCTTTTTCATGGTTTAGGGGGTGAATCTGTATGTGAAGAACTTGGATGATGGCATAAATGATGAAAGACTCCGGAAGGAATTTTCTCCTTATGGTACAATCACAAGTGCTAAGGTAATATTTCTGCAAAATCCACTCAAAGATGGCTATAAAGATTATATACATATATATATATTGACAGTTTAGTGCATTGACCATTCATTTTTTTAACCCATTCTCTCTCATTTACTGCAGGTGATGACTGAAGGTGGCCAAAGCAAGGGCTTTGGCTTCGTCTGCTTCTCGTCTCCAGAGGAAGCAACCAAAGCAGTGACTGAAATGAACGGGAGAATTGTTGCGACCAAGCCGCTGTATGTTGCGCTGGCACAGAGGAGGGAGGAGCGTAAAGCTATTCTAACTAACAAGTACATGCAGAGACTGGCTACCCTGAGGACCATGAGCAACCCCGTCATCGACTCGTACCCCCAGTCGGGATACTACATGACCGTACCACAGGTATGAATATTTGGACTATTAAGAGAATTATAAACATGATTATTTGTCTGATATAAATCATCTGCCCTATAGAATTTGTGGTAACACTTTAATTGAAGGAGGGTGAATAAGACTGACATGACACTGTCATAAAAACCTGTCATGAAAATGAATAAGCCTTCATGAATATTTATGACTGTTGTCATAAAGTGTCATTCGGTAAATTATGACACTTTTAATACAAAGTTGACATTATTCAAAATGCCTTTATGACAACTTGACATTAACCAAGAAATCATTACTGATATAAATTTGTTATAAAAGTATTACTGATTGCACTTTAAAAATGAGGCAACTTTGTTATTAAAGGTAAAGTTTAAACAGTAATGATTTCTTGCTTAATGTCAAGTTGTCGTATCAAAGACATTTTGAATAATATCAACTTTGTATTAAAAGTGTCATAATTTACCGAATGACGCTTTATGATGACAAATATTCATGAAGGCTTATTTATGTTCATGACAGGGGTTATGTCATGTTTATGACAGTGTCATGACAGTCTTATTCACTCCCCTTCAAATAAAATGTTACCGAATTTGTCAAGCAAAAAAAAACAAAACAAAAAACTCTTTGATGGTGTAACTACCTTTGCTGGCTTAAAAACAGCAAATTTGCATAAATCTTTGTATAAACTTTGACTTTCTGCCCTGAAAACTCTATCCATCTAAACTGTTTTTTTCCTATTTAATCCTGTTCATAGTCTCAGGGATTTGAAATAATCCAGTGGCCTTATGTGCTTTCCATTCAGTCAAAACAAACCCTTATCTTGCAGCCTCCCACTCGCTCTTTCTACAACCACAGTGCTGTCAGCAACCTGAGACCAGTCCCTCGTTGGATGGGGCAGCCGCCCAGAGCCCAGGGTGAATTTCTTCAATTCTTTATTTAAAGGAAACGGATGTTTTTTTTTGTTTTTTTTTCTTTGATTAAAGGTAAATAAGTGTTCATGCATCCAGGATCTTACTCAGCCCAGTATATAGGGAGTCCTCTTCCTCGGCGTGGTTCACCAACCATCACTACAGTTCGACAAGCTTCCACTCAGGCTCCACGCATCATAACCTCCTCACAAAAGACGAGTACCTAAACTATAAGTTTTTTTTCTAGATGATTTAATTGAAGTCTTACTGTTTGACGTGTTGGAGCTCTTCCTTCAGATAACATAGGGACGCAGACTGGAGGAGTGCCCAGAGGAAATCAGTACAAGTATTCGTCTGGAGTGAGGAACCCTTTGCATGTTGTTACGGTTCCTGCGCCCATGACGAGACCACAGGTACAGCTGCTGGGCCTCCATTATGTGACTTATAAACTGGATTGAGAAACAAACTTAAATATTTTAGGAGACGGTGTGAAAACTTTGTTGGTAGACCACTAATATAAAAGAAAGGGAAAAAAAAAAAAAACAGTTTCGCAATTGTGGTGTTTCCATTTACAGACCCAATCGGATGCATTTTAAACAATAGCAACAATGTTCTAACTCTTCAAACCGGAGTTTTGATGTGTTTCAAAATGATATGCTTAAAAAAATAAAAAAAATATTGTCATTGTTTTCCCCTAAAAGATGTCAGTGGATTTTTAAGTTGATCTGTGCAAGTCTGACATTTGTGTTGTGGTGTTTACATCAAAGCATTAGGGTGTGTATGTGGGAACATTATGAGCTTTTTATTTGTGATTAGGAAAAATAAAACTACAATAATGAATGTGGCGACTGCTAACAATCTCAGGTTGCTCCTGTGGCTGTGGCTGAACCAGCAGTTCACATTCCAGGCCCGGAGCCCCTCACCGCTTCAATGCTGGCTGCAGCTCCACTCATGGATCAGAAACAACTCCTTGGTCTGCCTTCTCCCAGTTTATCCTTTCCCTTTATCAAGCCGTCTGTTTGTATTTGTTTCTATACCTCCTTCTCTTTGCTGTGACACACAGGGGAGCGACTGTATCCACTGATTCACGCCCTTCACCCAAACCTGGCAGGAAAAATCACAGGGATGCTGCTAGAGATCGACAATTCCGAGCTGCTGCACATGCTGGAGTCACCGGAGTCCCTGAACTCTAAGGCACATTAATTTTTTTTCAGTCCCTTCAGAATTTACAGATCTTTATCAGGACACACTGTCATCATAGACTGTGTAATGCATACCTCCACAAAAATATATTAAGTATCAAATAGCGTTGATCCCAAAGTTGCATAAATAACACCTGCAGTCATTTTTGTGGATACAAGGATGAGTTTAAGGCAAAATATAGTGAAATATTTTTGATTTGCCCATTTTTCTTTCTTGTTTTGGTGAATTTAATGTTTATTCTCAATGAGGAGAATTAGATGCATAGTTTTTTATTTTATTTTTTACTTTTTTTGTCCTCAACTTATGAGTGTCCAGGTCTAGTCCTCAAGGGCTCCAATACATGATTTAAATGTCCATCTACCTCCTGACCATATCGGTGTTCACATTGCAAATGTAGTCCAAATCTGATTGTTTTTCTTTCCTTTTTTTGAAGTTGAGTGACCAGATTAGGTTTGCTGAAATAAGTGTAACGCTCAGATCTGGCCCACATCTGATTTGTTTTGTCAGATTTGAGCCACTTCTGTATGTAGTCCTTTGCCTGACATAAATTCAATCATTTTGAATGTGATTTCAGTTGGACCTACCAAAGTGGTTTTGATGTGACTTTGATGCCACTTTCCATTGTCGTTCCCCATTACTGTGCACCAGCAGGAGGTGTTAGTAGTGAGCAAGATGGACAACAACATTTCACTCTTTTTCAATCTGTGTTGGACACTTTAGAAATGTAAATACACATTTCCTTCATGTTTTCCACACCAATGAGTACATTGCAAGATATTATCATTCTTTTGTGCATGCCGGTCAGTTTGAAATTGAACAGTTCACACTGAATTCAGATGTAGGCAAGATTTTAAAAGTAATGTGAATGACCATGCAAAAAAATAAAAATAAAAAATCTGATTTGAGCATCAAGATCTGCAGTGTGAATGTAGCCGTAATGTTCTACTGAGGCCTGCTAATGAACTATCATGTGATTCAGGTGTATTCAAGCAGGGAAAGAAACAAAACATGTAGGATACCGACCGCAGAGGACACTACTGAAACTGATGCTGTTCTTGTTAATCCAGAGGAATCTGGGAGTTAAGATGTTCTTTTCATCTCTGTCATGTTTCTTTCTTTCAGGTGGAAGAGGCAATCGCTGTCTTGCAGGCTCACAAGGCAAAAGAGTGTTCTCCAAAAAAGTGAAATGATTTAAGGTCAGCTTTAAATCATTTAACTGCATTTACAGCATTTTGTTCATAAGAACAAAATGGGTTGCAGCATTTTTGTTTTTTGCTACAGTGAGGTATATTTTAGACTGTTTAATCTTTTTAGTGCTAGTGCTTCAGTCATTAACAATTCAAGCTATAAAAAGTAATGCAGGTTTAATTAATGGTGTTAATTTTTCAAAAATTAACACTTTTTGATCGTTAGAGTGAACCTACATATCTTGAGGCTGCTGTTGCACCTGGATTGTCCCCCAGTTTTATTGTCTTTATTGTCTGTGGGACAATAAAGGCTATTTATGTTCTGTTTGATTTAAATCGGCTCAAAATTTAACTGCTGGTAGCTTTTGATACATTTTTCTTGCTGTGCTTCTCAGTTGCAGAGGTTTTTAAAATTCTGCTTTATGTAGCGATTTTTATGGAAATAATCTCTAGCTCTAGATGCATAGTTGGACACAATATATCTGAGTAAATGTCAAACGAATTGGATTTTATTTTTTGTAAAGATTATTCACCAGCTAACAGCTAAAAATTGGCATGAATAAATAGTTTATTCATGCCATATTTTTACCAGGTAGATGAGCACAAAGACCTAATTATGTGTGTTTTGTTTTTCCCAGGTGTGAACATTGTTCTAGAGGAGAAAAAAGGTTCTAAGTATGAATTTTTGGGAAAAAAGAGCAAAGAATAAAACTCTTGACATGTTTAGAATGATAGTGAAATGCTTCTGAAGTTCAAGCTATTTTGTTGTTGCAGTGACTTTTGTTAGAAGATAAAGTTTCCAGAATATGCATTAAATTTGTGTCGTGTCATTTATTAAAATCAGAAGTGAATACTTCTATACCATTTCATCCCCTGGTTTACATTTAATCACTTTACATAAATGGACCAGAGTTCAGAGCTGGTCAAAGATGTGAAAATGTTGAGATGTCTATTGCTTCATCTACAAATGCATCGTAGTAAACTGGAATTTACTTTGCCCAGTTCAAATGGTCAAACTTGTATAGTTTTATTAGGTGTTGATAATATTAAGTGTTGTAAGATGACAGCTAATGACCATAAAAATCAGCTTCCCAGAAAATCTTGATTTCTATATGAAATCTGAAAAGAGGACTTCAAATTAAGTGCAACAATCCAAACCCTCTAGCCGTTTTACCTGACAGCATCAGGTAAGATTTGAGGCCATCTCCAGTCTTGGATAAATCTATGTGGCAACTCTCATAAAAACTGAATGGCCTTTGCTTAAAAATTGCAAAGGTGACAGTTCTCTTAACTTCAGTGCAGACAGTTCAAAGAGCTGTACCATTTTCCTTTACTGTAAGAACTGTGAGGAAGGAGACTCGGTTTATTTTGAATCTCTTTACTGGTTAGCCACAGCATATTTGGATGCAAGTGATTGACAGTTGTCCTGCATAAAACGAATCTTTTTGATGACTCCTGTAGCACACTTCAGGTAAATTGTAGTTGTGGAATATGACAGAACTGGAAGATAATTTATGGTAGATTCATGCTATATTAATTATTTGCATTTTTCAAGTTTATTACGATCCTGCTGATAAAGTTGCAACAATGTTAAGAATTTAAAGAGTGCTTGGCTGTTTTTAGTGTTACATTTTTTGACCATGTTAAGTTTCCTAATAATTCTGCACACCTTGATACAGTGTTGATCTCGTTAGGCCACATCCTCCCTCTTGGCACATCACCTGTTAGGTTTAAATCCATTAAGTATGCAAAGTTTAGCCTGGGTTTAGAAACTGCCTAAAAATATGGTAAAAAAAAAAACTTGATGTGCTGTGATTTACAATATTAGTGTAATTGAAGTCTGTTTTACACTCACCATGCAATTAGTATATCAGCAATACATTTGTGAACATTTTATCTATAGGTAAATTTCAAATTTTTGCTAATTCACTTACCATGCATGGATAAAATGCGAGTTCCTGGTGTCCTCAGTAAAATGAAAACCATAGGCTCCAATGCTGCTATTAAGACTTTAATCACAAATTGAACCTGGCCTGACAAACTCAAATGGGAACCAAAGAATGAACTGAGGTTTGCCAGATTTATTGGAAGCCTTCATACAAAAGAAATTATGGCTGTATAAAGTTACAAAGGATTACCATTGACATCAATATACTTTCAGCATTTTAGGTCAATTAACCCAACAGTATTCTGTAACTTCAAGGTAATGAATCTAAAACGGCTGAGTTTAATGAGCAGATAAGACAATATTTAAAAATATACAGACCAATAGATATCTGCAGATTACTTTTCAGTGGTAGTTTACAACACAAACCACAAAATCTGAAAAGCAACTTCAAAAAAAGGGAAAAAAAACAAACAAAAAAAAAACCTTGATAAATGTGAGGCCACTTCATCAGTACACAGCCAACTAAATTCCAATGGATCTTTGCTTCAATTGAGATTTTTATGAAATGCAAACAAATTTATTTACACAGATTTTCCAAAACATGTCTCAGACTATCGACGTGAAGGCATTAGAAGCTGCTTCGCCGTTACTGAATCTGGGAAAAGGTTGTGGTAGGTTGGTAAAGGAACATAAGCAGCCGTTATCATTTTACCTGGAAAGGGGAGGGGGG